AAATGCTTCATCCGCCTCCAGTTTTAGTTCACTAACAACTGTGAGATGGTCTAAACTCCCATCAAAGGCCCTCTCTACCTCCCTTTTATATATGGAATTACACTGACTTATTATGAGTTAGCCGCGCGTTCATTCCAACGCACAACTAGGCACCTGAACTTATGAACCATTTTCTGTCAGTCAACAAATATTTCGACTAGTAAATCCAGTTATAATCAAAATGGCGACTTCTGATGTCATGCTATTGTTCAAAAGGCGATGGAATTGTTTAATTTTTGGCAACGGACTACTCTCACTACAGGCCTGTCTACGGCAGTTCACATACTTCACTACTTCACTGCGTATGTACTTCAAGACTTCACCTTCTGGTTTATAATATTTCCGTAAATCCGAATTTCTGTTGACTGTATATAAAAGCAGTTATAGTATCGACCAAATATCGATAGGATCCTTGGTGGTTTTGCCTGTAACCCTCAAATGCAGTATGCGTCGCCTCTGCCACTCAAGCGATGATAAGGATTAAATGATATAATTTTTGAAATACCGACGCGCTCCGCAACCCTATTACAGTGGTGCGGGCGAATGGTACTCAAGTTGGACTACTCAACCAATGACGGACGTTTGGCCTTGGATGCTGGAATATGCGAACCTTTCTGAAACCTGGTACTCAAAGTCTGAGGTCGCGTAGTTTCCATCAATACCTCGTTGATATTTGCTGCCTGTCCGAAGACAGAATCCCTGATTCAGACGGCAGGGAAATACAAATTCTGGGAGTCGATTTCAACCTCACCCTGTATTACAGTGGCCCACATGACTCATCTGGTAGACATGGTGTGGCTATTGTCCTCTAGGAACAAGAATACCGTGCATTACTGGCATGGGAAGCAGTCAACGACCGGATGGCTAATGTCCAACTGAAGGGCCATTTTACGAATACCTCTGTCGTATCGGTGTATACAACAAAATTACCTGTCGATCAGCAAGAAAACTATAACTTTTAGTGGCAGCTATAGGAACTAGACGAAAGACTCAATCGCCGTGATCTTTTAATTGTTGTTGGGGACTGAAATGCCCGGACTAAGTCCGATGACTCCTCAAACACTC